GGAGTTATTATTTTACTAATTGCTACTTCATAGATTTATTTTATGTTTGTATGAAAGTTATACGTTTAAATCTATTATTTTAGTTCAATACTTCCACATTTTATTTCAAACCTAAGTATTGGAGATGAATTGTTAAAAGCTTTGGAAAATTGCAGTCACGAGAAATTTTTCTTTAATCAAGTAAAATCCAAGAGATTCTAGTTCAATCATCGACATACCATTTATAATAAGACAGAAAGTACCTCTTGATGGCTCCCAAACATCAGCATACATTTAAGGAAAAATGAATTTCAAACCTGTTATTTCTTATTGTAAAGGGTAAAAGACGACTTCTTGATAGTTCATACTTGAAATTGAAATTTAGAAAGACGAGCCTTATAAAGATACGAGGGAAACAAAAATAGGATGACCAAGTCAAAAATGAAGCAGCCAAATTTCTCTCACCATATTTTCATGTTTCTAAACAGCAAAGACTTTCATCTCAACTGGAAAGCACCGACACACTGTCGACGTTGGCGGATCGGTGTCCAATATGTATCGACATCACTACATCTCCGACGCGTGCAACGTATCCCTTGCGAAGAAGAACCGAAGAAAACAAAGTTATAAACTGAAGTTTTGTGGAAGAACGCTTCAAGCTTCGATTTCAGTCGACAGCTAAGGAACTGTTTAGGTAGTGATTTCCGTCAACGGTTGAGGAAGAACTGAAAACAGTAAGTGTGATTAGTTAGCGGCTGAGGAAGAAGAATAGCAACCCTAATTTGTTGAAGGAGAAATGAAGAGGCATGTTCAGGTCATTTGAGATGACTTCTTGAAAAAGTGAAATTAACTTTATTTTGTAACAACTGAATTACTCTTGCCCTTAATTCAAAAACAAGAGAGAGATATTCTAAATTAAAAAAGGCGGCAAATTTTATACCATTTAGATTTATCATTTTACCCCAATTAAAAATCCAGCTAAATCTATTTGTTATTTAACTATTTATATATGATGCAATAAGTATTAAAAAAAATTATTACTTTAGACTATTAAATTTAAAAAACTTAAAAATTAAGCCCATATTTGAGCCCCATTATCACAAAATACATTTTCCCTCAAACTCATTTTCAACCATATTTTTCCATTAAAATAATTTATAAATAAATCCAAAACATACAATCTCCAAAAAAATCACTATTACAAAATTCATTACTTTGTTAAAATGGGGCTCAAACGAGGGTTAAGAAAATAATATTTTAATTAACATGTCGACAACGTATCGTGTCGGACTTTTTCAAAAAATCACATGTCAACGTGTCCAACACGATACTCATATTAGTTTAAAATCTTTTTTAGCACCTTATTACTATTTGAAATAAGATAATACAACCCCACCCCCTACCCCCTCTCTCTTTCTACATTGTCAACCTCTTCCTACCAGCTTTTGAAAAATGTATGGGGAAAAAAAAACTTTCTAAATAGCAAGATTGTCACTTTGGAGATATAGAGAAGACCACAACCAATTTTATGTACATGGAGAAAAGATAACAAGTTTGAAGAACCGTTCAGATTAATAGCAATAACGAAAGTTGCGTTATTTAAGTTTGGAAACTATATGCATTGCCGTATGATTTAAAGTCCCCTAATCAATGATCCAAGAATTAGAGGATGTATGTATGGTTTAGATGGAGTTGTACAGGGGTATTACATGGATAAGTAAAAGTATAGGAAGAAGCAAGTTCCAAAGCACCAAACAGTTTCTGCAGGTGATCCACGAGTTCCCAAGTGAAAGGTAGCTTCTCAAAAGTTTATTTTACTCTATTTATTATGTTCCTCCATCCAAAACTCCTTGATATGCCTTTTATTGTGGTTGTTTGCATCCTTTTTTAATGTCTTGGTTCGTTGAAATAATCACCATTGATTGTCTTTTCACCAAATCCTTTACCAAGTAACCGAACATGTCCGTTGAAGCTATCTTCACTTGCTTTTAGAGCAAAAATTTGGTTCGAGTTGGAGTTTGTTCCCAATATAAAAGTGCGACATCTTTCCTCGTCGTGTACGAGAGAATATGCTTCATGTAAAGAACCTAAGCTTAGCAATAATATAACCTTTTTACATTGTATAAATCTTGATGAAGTCCAACCAAAAATTCAAAAACCAAACACGTTGAAGGCAACTTGACTAACATTATTGTATCAACTGGCAATTCCATCTCTACAGGCTACTAAGTTCTAATTCTCGCCATACAATTTTTAGTGTTGTAGTGATCAAATACTCGAGATGTGTTCCCTCTTTTTAAAAGCCTGAGATATTATCTTGAATTTCTTTGGCTGAAGGGAGGAAAAAAGGTTTTCCAATATAAGGCTCTATAGAATCAAGTAGCCTAACTCATAACCATTGAATTTCAGCTTCCCATGTTCCAAAGGAAAGATCAAATTCCTATGATTCTCCAACGGTGCCGACTAAATAGCCTATTTTCCTCTAGTTTTCAAGAAAATTTAGGCAATCATTCTAAAAACTTTATTAAGTTTTTCTGTAGCAGAGGATAATTTGCAATCATGATTTAGGTTTCAGGAATTCTAGCATCACAAAATTCTAACATAATGACAAAAAAATAAAGAAAACAATTAATAGAGATAATAGGCAATCAAAGGCTTGAAGAAGAAAAATGTAATAGCTCATATTGCTCGAATACCATGTTCCAACGGATATCTTGTTTGTTTATTTTAGCATTTTAGAATTTTCGTCTCCAACTTTTTATGATTCCTTATGATTGTGCTATCAAATCCGATACAACACGATTAAGAAAAAATGAAGTCATCATATTCAAACTTTTGATCTTAGTTTGTTAAGAAGTGGATTGAATTAAAATTTGAAATAGCAGTGATGAAGTGTAAGAATAAGGGTGAGTTCACCTAAAAGGGTACCAAGAATGGGCTTAACAAAAAAAATATATAAATCACAAATACAGAGCATAAGAGCAAAGATGAATAAAATGCCCTTTGGCAATTCATTTGTTCTCTAAGACTTCCATATTCTCGTGATAGGTTATTCCCTCATTGAATCAAGCATTTGGCTTGCAAAAGACGATGTTATACGCATCTAAGGATATTGATTTCATCTAATTCCCAAATGGTGTGTGATGTACGTGGTGGCATGGAGGTCCTTAGTGCTATACTCAATAAAACTAGAACTAGAATAGTTATTTCCATGCAGAAAAGTGATTAGTGCTATGCAAAATTGGCATCATAAACCATAGACCAAGATGTTTATTGGATCAAGCCACCAATATTTGTTGAAGATCAAGCCAAATCGGGAAATGAATGGTTCATATGGAGAAACTCGTGCAGCTTGCTGCCAAGATTATGAATCATAATCTTTCGTTACTTTTAATGAACTCAAAGCTCTAGAGAAGTTACACGAGAAGGTTGATGGAAAAAATGCCAAGAGAATTTATCATCTCTTATGGACACAACTCAGTGACTTTTTAAGGAATGAGAGTATCTCATACTACAAGAAAATTAAGTACTATGCATCTACACCCAACACAATTATGAACATATGAAAAGCATATGTGTTGAGATTGTAGTTGAGAGTTCAGGCACCGTCAAGAGTCCATAGACATACTCAATCATGGGTAAGACTTACAGCAACGACTCTTTTAAGAGGGTTCTGTTTCTTCTTTCATTACATATTTTCAATCCTGAATTGGACTTACAACAATTATCCTTCTAAGAAGGTTCTATTCTTCTTCATAATATTTTTTCAATCACGGGTTAGACTTAGCAATCACCCTTTAAGAGAGTGGATTATTTTTAGTATTTTATGAACAAGACTGACAAAATGAATGAATGTTTTTGACAGAAAGTATATAAATCTTAACTCATATCTAAATTTAAGACAGATCAGGCAACAACTGTTAAGATTTCTAGCAAGATTGATAACTAATCGCACTAAATCTGTTCGTAGTTGGAAAATTGAAGCTGGAGCAAAGCATCTCGCAAAGAAATAATATTAGAAGCTAGTCATAGGCTATTCAATAATTTATTTAACAATAAAGTTTCCTTTCGATTAATATCCTGGTAATGAAGCAATATCTACTTACGAGGGATAATCAATGTCATCGTTCTTGTATTACACTATAATTAGAAACATAAGAAGTCAGAATAAAGCAAGGGATCGTTCATTTTGATAAGGAGAGAGTTTGGGAATGATTGTCAATGATATTCCTCAACTGAAAAAAGGAAGTTGTATAGAGACTTGTACAAAAGAAAGAAATCCTTCCATCCGATCTAAAAGAGACCTACCCTGAAAAATAAAAATACCCATACAACTAACCGGGAGATAAAAATGAAAGAATACTCTAGGACAAAAAAAAAACCACATCGAGAGACAATGAGAGAAACAGCAAGAATTAAGCTACAGCTAATTATATATAAGATGCCAATAAGTGCTAACATTCGTCGAGCTCATGGGAATCTAGGAGATGTTAGCCCCCGTTTGGTGCATATTTTGAAGGTAAGAATGCATTTTTACTGTTGATATGATGGGGAATATGTGGTTGAAAAAAAGGAAAAGTTATTAATGTGACGGAAAATATTATTTTATTGAAGAATGTGTGGTTGAAAATGAGTAGAAGAATGAGAATGAAAAAAATAATGTGGACCAAACGAGGCCTTAAGCACAGTGCTTGGGACAAAGCCGATCAAATGGAACAAAGGAAAGGGGCTTGGCAGAAAGATTAGTAGTTTGCACAAGTGTAGGAACAAGTTGTACACCAAAGGAGAGAACTTCAGGAATGATCGTAAATGATATTTCTTCATTAAAAGATAATGAAACAGTACAAGGAGAATAATCTCAATCCCACTTCGCATGGGGAAGAAAATATCCAGTAAGACAAGACAGATAATTTGGTTTAAAAAGGTGCAATAAAAAACGAGATAAAACCAATATATCAGCCACATCTTACAGAACTACAAATCCAGAGGTATACAAGAAAGTGGTGTTAAGAAGTATTTACCTCACAGGAGTCTAGGCAATCTACGGCGGTCACCATCAAGTCAGAGGAACCTCTTTTAATTGAAATTTCACGGAATGCACGCCACATTACCATTGGATCCCAACTCAGACCAGTTGTAAGTTTGAGAACATCACTAACAATAATTGGCTCTCCCATGATCCAGTGTTTCTGGAAGTGCTCCAGTTCCCCCAGATGGACGTCACTAGCCGAAGGACAGAACAAGTAATTGTCACCAGAATTTCTTCTAGAAGCAGCTTTCCGCAGTTTCTCATCATTGACAGCAATGCCCTCATTGATTTTGACACAAGGACATTGCTTGGGAACTTGAGATACATCAGCAAGTCCACATGTTACAACTAAATTTTCAACCTTCTTCTTTAACTGTGAAACCCAGCTTTCACCCAAAATGCACTTGAGCTCCAGAGTGCCATGTCCACAACCACCCTTCTCTTTTGGAGGGCAGGGAATCTCACCGGATACATTTGCCTTCCACTCAGGTACTGGCATCTGCTCGCTCCTAGAATGCGACGCTATGCATGATATAGAAGAAGTTTCCTTTTTCGAAGTTGTACGAGTTTCTATTCCATGAAAGTAGTTTGCCCCTCTATTAGTATACTGAATTACAACCCCTTTATCACATCCTTTCAAACAGCCTTCTCGAATCTCCCTACAACAAGTCAGGCAGAGATCGTACGAACAATTTGGACAGCTTCTGTGAAAATCGGCAATAGAGGTACTGCAATTGTCACTGCAAGAAAGGAAGCCACATCATTGGATCAATAATAACATTAAGCTTAAAAAGGTAGAAATATTAAATCACACAAATGATGAAGCCATACCAGTACATTCGCTCGTCACGAGAACACTCAATTTTCTCTATTTTTATATCTGTTGACAATGATCCTGCGTGCATAGTTATCACGAGGACATAAATTTTCATCACACATAGCAGCGTAACTCAACAGAAATTGTGCCAGATCAACTTTTCCCGTTTATTTCACATCAAACAAAAAATAACACCTCCACTTGTCCTGTTCTAAACCACCAAAGCCTTAAATCCATATTTGCTGTACAAAATAGATAATTGTATTTTTTTTAATAAAGCAAAGAGACACCTCGGTACTTATTTATTTTCACAAGAAAAAGAAGAAGCTATACAGAATAATTATATAGAGTTTGTTTGGGAGGGATTTTAATCCAATTAAAATTGAAAATATAGCCGTTATTGGGTCCCACTTGTCTAATAAAAGTTAACAATAACGACTAGTTTTTCAGTTTTAATACGATTTTAATCCCTCCCAAACAAGCTCATAGTGTTTCTTACAGCCCTTGGCTTATTTTTCAGTTTTCCTTTTCTCCCTTTGCGGTCTTCTCCCCGAATGGAGTACAGGTCAATCATGAACAAACATCATATACTGGACTAGAATTATAAGCAAACTGACTTAAGTCACTACAGGACATGGATTCCAACTTTGGTGATACAGTAATTCGTGTATATTTAATGTCAACAAAATTAAATGACATTTTTCTATAAGATAGGATATCATTATGTGACTTTGCAAAAACCAAGAATACAAGCTTAGACATAACCAAAATAATTCCCAAAATACTTTTGGCCAGCAGGCACATTAAATTCAAGCTTTGAATGTGCCCTTCCAGCTTTATCCTAATTAGGGCTTTCTTCGTCCGACAACAACATAGCTGGACTCGCATGAAAACCAATCATTTGAACATTTTAAGTTTACGTTTGAACACTATTTTATTTTTTGTTTACACTGGAAGAATCCAAATAAAATGTAGAACAGTTTAGAATCAAGATATATTTGTAATGGTATAAATTTCGGAAGAAGTTCAATTGACACGTACAAAATAATATTGGATTACCACGAATCTTAGCTTCCATGTCTTTTTCTACCATCTGATCACGATTAAATTCATCCAAAAATGAGAAGAGTGCACGGAGGAGATACTTTAAGTACCATGTCTTTTCATCCTTATCTCCTAGACCCCCGGAATACACACTCTGCAAATTAACAATTAAAAAATCATTAAGTCAACAAGGCTCAAAAAGCAAAATAAAATCAGAATGTGACAGGAAGAAACAATGCAAATACAACCTCGGGTATATCATGTTTACGTAAACAATCTTTGCAGTTGCAAGTTTGACGACAACATGGACATGCCTTCGCTATATCTTCCTCTGATAGTTCAGGATACCTATATTGAGGACACGGAGAAGAAAAATAAGGAAATATTCGGGCACATCAGGACTAGATGCTTAATTCACATCTAGTTTCGCAGTTAGGGCAATTTATGCATGTTGCCACAACATCATGAGATGTGCAAACATCTTTATCGACTAATTACCCTTTACAAAGCATCATTGCATGATCATATTTCCAAAGAAAGAAAACAATAACAAACCTAGTTAAATTTCTAGACAAAAACCATGTTCTGGTCAGATACAAGACACGTGTTCATGCACAGCAGGGCATGTTGCAAACCATCAATCCACAACCAGCATAAACGAATCCAGGGCATTAGTAACTTCAGAAAAAAAGAACAAGAAAGAAACCAAAAAAAAAAAGTTGGAAATTCCAATATTCAAATTGCTGATCCCTCCTCATTCCACATTGTGATTTATTAAACCAAATGTTAAGAAGAGAAAAACCAAATCATATTTGTTAATGACATTTGAATAGAAATCCATTTGCATGCAAAATTGCATATATGCCTGAGGATACTAACATCCAAATAAGTTAGTACATGTAATGGGATGGACCATGCATCTATTTCATTTTGAAGGTCGCACAAAGTTTACTTAGCAAATCGCTTCCTAAAATGCATCAAGCAACAGGTAGTGGCATTTCATTAAAGAAAGCTGTGATTTTTTAAGATATTGGTGTTGATAAATAACATATACCATTTCTGGATACAAGGGAGACAGTAACGTCTAGGGCGGTCAGGGCGGCACTGCCGGCACCGCACAACCTTCCTATCACTCTTCATACATTGATGACACATCATGCATGGATCGTCTGGGTCCTGTTTACCAAAACAGTAAGTCTGCAATTCAATTTTGAATCAGAAAATTGATGGAATAAGTCAAGAGCGCAAGCTTACACCACTGTAATACTTCCTCCTAGAATCAAGTTTTGGTCCTATTGTTGTTTGGGATTTTCTTCTTCTTAAACCATAGGTCTCATCCTCTGTGCTACCAGATGAATCAATTTTTTCAGCTTTGCTTATCCCTACCATCTTCTTTGCTTGGGTTTTCTGACCCTTGCTTTTCTTTTCTTGAGTTATTGACTCTGTCTCCGCATTTCTATTGGGTTTCTTCACTTGTTTAACCCTCAATTGATCGTCCAAGTTATCATTATAATAACTTTCTTTGTTCTTAGCTGCTTTCATCACCAGCGACTCTGGCTTTCCTTTCAGACCCTTATTCTTCTCCCGAATACCCAACTCCATCTCAACACTCTTCTTAGATTTCTTCACTTGTCTAACCCCAAAATTATCCTCTTCGCTTCCCTTCACTTCCATTTTCTTCACCTGCAACTTCTTATTTTTGCTCTTCAGGGAAGACTCGCTTTTACAACTACTTTTACCCATTCCTCGAAAAGCGTAGTCAACATCCTGACCCAACGCATCACCATCCTTACCTTCTACCTTATCTTTCCCCTTCCGAGACCCCTCTTTCTTCCCAGAAAACTCTGATCTCTTCTTCAACTCTTTGTTGCTTCTCCCTGCTAAATTCTCGTTCTTCCCATCCTTCGCATCATCTTCACTTCCACTAGCCCCTTCTTTCAGCATAATACTCGAGTCCATCGCCCTAGCTTTGGTCCTTACCCCCTTCGTTTTCCAAAATTTCGCCAAACTAACATCTTCCTCAAAAGCCGCATCATTCTCCTTCCCCTCCTCGTCACATTTCACATTCTTGTCATATTTATCACTGTTATCCTCAGAGATATCCCTCTCTATTTTCTGGGTTCTCTGCTTTTTCAGCGGATGCTCATCCTCCTTGGACGATTCCTCGTCATCCTCTGCTCGGACCCTACCCCGCCTATTCTTAGTGCTTCCAGATAACCCCGACTTACCCGATTTATGTACAGGAAAGGCATCGCCTTTGGGATTCCCAGAACGCTCTTTGATAACCCTAGTAGGGTTAGACGCAGAAACAGAAGAATTTTGCTTCAAAACTGTGCTCTTTTTTAACAGCTGGAGGTAGTGCTTCTGGCAATAGGGTTGATCGTGGATCCTCCAGTCGCGGCACCGCCATTTCTTGCCGTCGTTCCTCTGACACCGAAGGTCCTTCGGCGGGAACTCCACCGCCGATGGTGAAGTGCCCTCATCGTCCGATGACTCTCGCATTCCTCCTTGACTTCGGCTTCTGGCTTCGCTTTGGTTTTGCTGAAATATGGTGTTTTAGAGGGAAAGGAGAAACGGAGGAAATAGTGAGAAATGTCCAATTTTGACAACCCAATTCGAAAAACTGAGTTTTTTTTTTTTTTTCGATTTTGATCTATTTTGGATGACACCTGGCTCGTGTTTGATTCACATCATTTTTTTCATTTTCGTTCTTTTACTCATTTTCAATTACACATTCTTTAATAAAATAATATTTTCTATCACATCAATAACTTTTCCTTCATTTTCAACCACATATTCATCATCACATCATTTCAAAAAAAATGCATTCTTTCATTTTAATGTACACCAAACGGGCTCCTAATTTGAAATACTGTAATTAATTTCTTTGGACACCAATTTGGATTGATTTAAAAATCATCCAAAATCGATATAATTTTGATCGATTCTCTTAACTCATCAAATCGACGGATTTCGATCATTTTTTGTACTCTCCTCTGTATTTTCATTTCATAAAATAATTATTTTCAATCAGTATTATCTTTAAAACTAATTTATAAACAAAATATATCTAAAAATTTATTTATAAACAAAAAAGAAAATTACATCGTAATTATAAGATAGGAAAAATTCATTAAAATTTACTTATAAATAAAATATCACTTGTAAGTAAAAAAAGTTCATATAAGAAACTATAAACTAAAAATATTATTAAAAAATATATATGTGATTTTAATAAATTCTTAATCATAGGTTGGACAATTTTAAAAATCGTTATCCACTCATCAACGCTCATAATCAATAATTTAAACAATGCTCATAATCGGTATTGTAACGACCCAAATTTTAAAGTTTATATCGCTGCCAAAATTTATTAAAATTTAAACAATATTGCATGCAATTATATATAAAATTATGTAACGGTAATTTAATAATTTTTATTATGTATAAAAATTTTGAAATTTCATATTTATTTTTTCTCTTAAAAATAATGACTTTTTCAATACGATAATTTATTCATACGTATTTGAATAGATCAAATGAAAATTAATTTACAATTTAAAAATTAGGGACGTAATTCGACATGTGTATAATAATTTCCATTTAATTTGATTCGGCCTCTATTTGAATCACATTAAAATTTTCATTCTAATTCTTCTACTCATTTGCAACCACACATTCTTCAATAAAATAATATTTTTCATCACAACAATAATTTTTCCTTATTTTTTAACCACGCATTTTTCATCAATCTACCATTCCAAAATACATTCTTCCAAAATAATGTGGCTCAAATACACCATCAATATAAGCATTGTATAGTTTTGAACCACATTATTTGGGAATAATGTATTTTGGAATAGTTTTGAACCACATTATTTGAGAAGAATGTATTTTGGAATAGTAGATTGATGGAAAATGCGTGGTTGAAAAAATAAGAAAAAATTATTGATGTAGTGAAAAATATTATTTTATTGAAAAATGTGTGATTGAAAATGAGTAGAAAAATGAAAATGAAAATTTTAATGTGGCTCAAACATGGGCTTAGTCATACACACCATTTGTCTAGTGAAAAGCATAATTAATAAAAAAATAGATTGTTAACACTGTTATACCATATGAGCTTGTTTGAGAGGGATTACATTCGGGTTTAAATTGAAAAATTAGTCGTTATTGTTGACTTTTATTAGACAAGTGAGACATAATAACGACTATACTTTCAATTTTAATTGGATTGAAATCTCTCACAAACAAGCTCTAAGTCAATTTAATTAATAATAACACTTAATTAATGTATAATTTAGTTCAATGCTTAATTTATTTACTTCAACAGTGTAAGCACGTGAAATTAATGAGCACAATTAATAGAAGGTACCATAATCAAATTTCTGTCAAAATATTCTCATAAACAATAACTCGGTGAGAAATTTTATTAACGTCACTCCAAATTTCAGGGACCCATTTTTCATGCTAGCTTCCTAGAGTAATTCATGTGATGAAATCATGCATAATGTTAATTTATCTTATACCATAGCCAACAAGCAAATATTGGTTTTATACATTCGCCGTAGTTCATAATCCAATGAATTTGTCACAAGAAGGAAAGTGGTCCATAAATAAAAACAACCAAGATTTTTTGTTAGGAATTTAGTCGCGTTATATTGGATTTGAATCATTAAGTCCAATGAATTTAAGTATGACAGCACATCATCGTCCGCCAATCAACGATCTTTTTTAGCCTATGAGAAGTAGGAAAAAATAGTGATTATATGAAAATACCCAGTATGACATAAATAATTGTGCAATTCCAAATAAAAGTATCAATTCATATATCAAAAAAATCATACCGTCATATCATATCAATTCGTTAGAATAATATTTATCATATCATATCAATTCGTTAGCATAATATTTATCAGCACTAAATAATAAAATTAAATGAGACAAACCACTTATACCTCGTAATCATACCTAAGCCTTTGAAAATCTTGATTTGATGTTCACAAAATTATTGATTTTTGTGCCTATTAAAATTTTAAAAAATTATATACTTGTATTCGGATGCTATAAAATATATAGCTCATGTTTGATCCGGATTAAAATCTGATTTTAATCTAAATCAAAGTCAAACAATCAATATTAACCACATCTTTCTGGGTCCTACAACTTTTCACCACACATTTCAAAAACTACTATCACAATCTATTAAAAATCTAATTATATACTTGTATTCGGATGCTATAAAATATATAGCTCATGTTTGATCCGGATTAAAATCTGATTTTAATCTAAATCAAAGTCAAACAATCAATATTAACCACATATTTCTGGGTCCTACAACTTTTCACCACACATTTCAAAAACTACTATCACAATCTATTAAAAATCTAATTTTAATTCACACCAAACACCCTCATAAACAAGAATGAATAGAAGCATATATGTATATAGAGAGATTTTAAAAAAATGCATGAGTTTCAATAGTTGTCAGGTAATTTAAAAGTTAGTGGGAAAAAAAAGAGGGAAAGTGGGGGAGGAACATTTGGAATATGATTAGGATTAGAATATTTGAAAGTTAAACTCATTCTCCCGCTAAAACACTTAATATATTAATGAAATTATAATAATATACATTTATAACTTGTTTATACATATAGTGGTAGTTTGGTAGAGATTTTTAGGGGAATAATTGATTTTGAATAGTAATATGATGGGAAATGTGTGGTTGAAAAAGAAGAAAAAATTATTGATGTGATGAAAAATATTATTTTATTGAAAAATGTATGGTTGAAAATGAGAATTGATTTACTGTAGAAATAAACTAAAAAGTTACTTTTAAACGTGTTTGAATGATTTTTTTAAAGTGATCTGACAAGAAGGGTTTTTAGAGGTAACTGTTATAAATTAGCTTTTTCAATAAGTTCTTTTATAAAAAGCAGAAGCAAAATTAGAATCCATGCCAAACGGACAATATTACGCCTCTGTTTGGTATCCATTCTTTTTTTCATTCTCATTCTTCTACTAATTTTCAACAACACATTCATCAATAAAATAATATTTTTCATCACATCAATAACTTTTCCTTCATTTTCAATTACAAAAAATGTGTGATTTGACACAAAGAATGTATTTTTTTTCTAGAATAATGGTTACCAAACGGTACCTACATATGAAAAATAAATTCGAAACTTTGCAGGCACGCCGAAACTCTCAACTAGACCCTAAATATATTCAGTTCATTTTGAAAATTGAATTACATTTGAATTAAAATGAAATATTATTAATCTTTTCAAATTATCATATTTAACTCCTACTTGATAGAAATTAAAATTCATATTTTAATTTAAGTTAAAGTTAATAATTAATTTTAACCATATGTTTCAGGAGATTCATAATCTTTCAACTATACATTTCATCAATTTTTATCAGAATTTACTGAAAATCTGATTTTAATCCCCACAAAAAAAGAACTCATATTTTAAAAAAAAAATTCTATATTTTTATTTCAAATTACCATAATTTATATCTCCAGAGTTATCTTTAAAATAGAGTAAAGTGACTCATTTGCCTATTGTATTTTTAAATAAGCAAAATAAATAAATAATAAATATTTGATCTTCATTTTAAACCATATTAACAGTATTTTTGAATGAGAATCATAATTAATGACGAGATTTTTCAATCAATAAAATGTTAAAAATAAGAATATGGAGGTGAAAAAATTACAAATGTGATATTGAATAAAGGCTAATGACCTTTAATTTATAATATATGAAATATCACATCAAGTAATAATTATTTTTTTGACGATTTTAACCCTACTATAATTCAATTATTTTAATAATATCTTATTTTTCATTTTTTTTAATATATAATAAATACTACAAAATCCTTGTTATGTGTGAATTTTATGTTATTAATTATCGATTAATTAACATTCACATTAATCTAGACTAAATGAATATTGACTTGATGAATTTTGATCTACATTAATCTAGAGTTATTATGGATGAATTTATTTCTATTAATGTATCTAGAAATTTTAATGGGTGTTTAAATTCATTTATTAGCAATTGATTCTTATGTATCAAATGTGTATAAAAAAGATTGCTCATTATAGTATTTCATCATTAAAAAAAAAAATTAAATCATAGAGTATGAATTTTGAGAGCACAATTTTATTTTTTCAAATTTCGATTCTAAATTTTATTTTTTTAGTTCGTTTAAGACTAATCAAAACCTCCCAACCAATTAGTATCAAATATTACTTTTACAGTACTTATAAAGTATTTCAAAATAACATGCAATGCACATTCAACTTTGACTAGTATAATTAAGCTCCCCTTTAGCCTCCATTATTTCACATTATAATTTTGGGAATAGTTTTTTTTTAAAAGAATGTGAGCTAAAGAAGAAGGAAATTTTTAACAATTTACGTGTAATATTATTTTATGAAAGATTGTGTGGTTGAAAAAAAGATAGATAAAAATAATTTTTTGGAA